TGCAAGCACTTGGTAAGGGTTAGTTATTATTGCAGCTGTTGTGTTGATTCAAATAAAGGTGTTGGTCCTTATGCACAGCCAGCACAGGGATTAACAGGAATTTGTCACTGGAACTCCACCTCGTCTTCCAAGTTTTGCCACTGGATCTTTTATCATGCAGATTAGTCAATTCATGTTAACATTACATAGGAACATTTCTAATTTCAATAACAAAAATAACCTATTGTATGCTAGGCTCTTTGCTAACTGCTTATATAGATTACTTAATTTTTTATTTTTTACAAGAAAGGGTCTCATTCTGTTGCCCAGGCTGGAGTACAATGGCGTGATCATAGCTCACTGCAGCCTCGAACTCCTGGCATCAAAGGATCCGCCGGCCTCAGCATCTGGAGTAGCTGGGACCACAGATGTGTGCTACCACACCTGGCTTACAGATTACTTAATTTAACCCCCACAACATCCTGTGGGGTGGAGGGCTATCATTATCCCCACTTACAGAAGAGGAAAGGAAAACTCCAAGGGACAATGCAGCTTGCCTGGGTCACAAATAGGAAGTGGCAGAGCTGGAATCTGATTGAGCTCAAGCTGTCTGACTCCTGCCCTCTTAAGCAAGACATTTAGTCTTCAGTGCAACAGATATGGACTGATCACCTACACAAAACAGACTGCGTTAAAAGCAGAGGAAAAAGAGATACAGAGGCCGAGTGCGGTGGTTCACGCTTGTAATCCCAGCACTTTGGGAGGCTGAGGCGGGTGGATCACTTGAGGTCAGGAATTCAAGACCAGCCTGGCCAACATGGTGAAACTCCATCCTACAAAGAATACAAAAATCAACCAGGTGTGGTGGCGGACACCTGTAATCCCAGCTACTCAGGAGGCTGGGTCAGGAGAATCGCTTGAACCCAGGAGGCAGAGGTTGCAGTGAGCCAAGATTGCACCACTGCACATCAGCCTGGACGACAGAATGAAACTGTGTCTCAAAAAACAGAGAGAGAGAATACAGCTAATTGCACCAGACTAAATAGTGTTCCCCTCAAATTTCTTATCAATTCAGAACCTGTGATGTGACCTTATTTGGAAACAGTCTTCACAGATGTCACCAATTTAAGATAAGGTCATACTGGAGTAGAGTGGGCCTTACATCCAATGACTGGTATTTTTATTGGAGGAGAGAAGTCTGGACACAGGCATGAAAGAACTCCATGTAACAACCAAGGCAGAGACAGGAGTCTACAAGCCCAGAAGGCCAAAGATTCCAGCAGGCACCAGAACCCAGGAGAGAGGCGAGGAATGGATGCTGTCAGGGCCTTCAGCGTAACCTTCATTTCTGTACTTCTGACTCTCTGAACCGTGAAACAACAAAGTAATGTTTTAAGCTGCCCAGTTTGGAGTAATTTGTTCCAGCAGCCCTAGGAGATTCATGCATGAATAAAAAGGAGACAATAGAACCAGGAGTGGTGGCTTGAACGTGCAGTCCCAGCCAGTCACCCCAGACCCTGTTGGGCAATAAGAGTTTGTGTCTGAAAGTTACAGTTCCCCACTGGCCGTGAGTAGGCAGTGGGAGAAACCAGTGATGAATCAGTTCATGGCCTCACAGGAAGCCCGGCTTTCCTGTCAACAAAGAAGAATGAAAAGCCGTCAACCTCGGGCCAGAGGGCCATCCACCTGGCCACTGTCACAAGGCTCGGATGGAGAGAAACACTTTCATACGGGGGAGGGGAGAAGGAGAGCCTGGCAAACCACATTTGGAATCTGACCCCCAAGTCACCCTTCCTGCTCAAGATGAGAATATGACAGTAGACAGAATATGATAACACCAAAAAAAATGTGTAGGCCTCGCACATCTCACCTTAAATCACGGGAATAATATTTCCCCACTAACCCGCTAGACATTGAAACAGAAGTTCCTAAGCACTTGGCAAGCCAGGCCCTTTTGAGAATCTGGCAAATGCTAATGGATGGATGAACTCTCTCCCCAGAAAAATACTCCTACATGCAAAATTTGGGGTGAGATTCCAGGGCATCTTGAGCTCCTAGAGCCCATTTATTGATGAACAAATATTTATTAATTGTCCATTATGTACTAGGCACTGTACTACATGCTAGGAATACAAACGGGAAAGAATAGATGAGGCATTTTTCTTCCTGAAGTCAAGAGCTGGGAGGGAGATGTGTAAATTTTCTGTGACTGCCATAACAAATTACCACAGCTGGGCAGCTTAAACAATAGGCCAGGCTGGGCGCAGTGGCTCACGCCTGCAATTCCAGCAGTTTGGGAGGCCAAGGCGGGATCACTTGAGGTCAGGAGTTCAAAACCAGCCTGACCAACATGGTGAAACCCCATCTCTATAAAAATTAGCCAGGCATGGTGGCAGATGTCTGTAATCCCAGCTACTCAGGAGGCTAAGGTTGGAGAATCACTTGAACCTGAGAGATAGAGGTTGCAGTGAGCCAAGATTGCACCACTGCACTCCAACTTGGGTGATGGAGCAAGACTCTGACTAAAAAACACATAAATACAGGACAGAAGGCTAAATGTTTGATATCAAGATGTCAGCCCAGCCGGTTCCTCATGGAGGCACTGAGGGAGAATCTGTTCCATGCCTCTCTCCTGGTTCTGGTGGTTGCCTACAGTCCTTGGTATTCTCGGCTTGTAGAGGCATGGTTCGAATCTCCTCTGCCAACATCTTCACCTCACCATCTCTCTGTGTCTTCTCCTCTCCGTATAAGAAAACGTCACTGGATTTAGTACACACCCTAAGTCGATTCTGAGATCCTTAACTTGTAACATTTGCAAAGACTCTATCTTCAGATAAGGTCATGTTCTGAGATTCTGGATGGACATGAATTTTGGAAGGATGCTGTTCAACCCAACGTAGTGGTCAGATGATTGAACAGCCACCACAGAAAGCAGCAAGGACCATGACAGAACTCCCGAGGCATCCATGAAAGCTTTCCTGAGGCCCTCAGGTGAAACTGAGACCTAAGTAATAAGTAGAAACTAATTAAACAGAGGAAGTAGAGTGCACCAGGATGAATTCATCACACAGATGAGGGCCACACAGGGGAGAGCTCACCTGAAGATCACTGCAAGAGAGAAGGGGCGGTGCAGAAACCAGTTTGGGGGTTTTCTGGTTTTGTTGGTTTGTTTTGAGACAGAGTCTCACTCTGTTGCCTAGGCTTGAGTGCGGTGGTGCAATTTCAGCTCACTGCAACCTCTGCTTCCTAGGTTCAAGCAATTCTCCAGTGTGCCACTACATCTGGCTAATTTTTCTATTTTCAGTAGAGATGGGATTTTGCCATGTTGGCCAGGCTGGTCTCGAACTCCTGTCCTTGGCATCACTTGAGTGATAACTCACTCATTTGAGTCATGCACCCACCTTGGCTTCCCAAAGTGCTGGGATTACAGGTGTGAGCCACCCCACCGAACCGAACAACAGTTTGGGGTTTGGGGTTTATCCTTAGGGCTGAAAATGCCTTTGAGGGAGTAGAAGCAGAAGAGTATTTCTACAAAGTTCATCTTGATGGAGGTGAGGAAGAACTGAGTGAGTGAGACCAGACATAGAAACCGTGGCCCCCAAGGGTGCATATCTCAGGATGCAAGTGGCCAAAACTCTGTGGAGATGCCCCATGCATCACCCTGAGCAGTGAGCTGGAACGATGCCCTCCGAACCACATGGAGGAGTTTAGCCCAGTGCAGACAGGATCCGAGCTAGACAATCAGACCAACGTTAGCCCAAGAAGAAAACCCTGAAGTCTGAAAGCTCTGATGCATGTTCTCCATCTAAGTGGGGAAAGGAGCTGGGCGTTTTAACAGAAATCTGCAATAGCTGTCTTCTAAACACTTTGACTCATCAGATACATAGGCACTCCTCTTTTGTGGTCCCTTAAGAGTTCAGTATGCCTTAAACCTAAGCCACGCCTCTCATAAACAAGTGAGTCACATCTCCCAGGCCTCACAGACTCCATGTTGCTCTCTAAAGGCCATCTCCTCCCTTGAAACCCCGGGTTGGGTTCCACACCCTCACCTCTGTTCTCCAAAAACTCTGAATATGGGTTCAGAAGCTACTTACTTATAATTCTTATTTCTCTTTCTTTGTTTACTTATTTACCTTTCTTTTCTTTTTTTTTTTTTGAGATGGAGTCTTGCTCTTGTTGCCCAGGCTGGAGTGCAATGGCATAATCTCAGCTCACTGTGACCTCTGCCTCCCGGTTCAAGCGATTCTCCTGCCCCAGCCTCCTGAGTAGCTGGGATTACAGGTGCCCGCCACCACACCTGGCTAATTTTCATACTTTTAGTAGAGACGGGGTATCACCATCTGGGCTCGAACTCTTGACCTCAGGTGATCCGCCCACTGCAACCTCCCAAAGTGCTGAGATTACAGGTGTGAGCCACCACGCCCAGCCTATTTACTTATTTTTTAAGAGACAGAGTCTCTCTCTGTCACCCAGATTGGAGTGCAGTGGCACGATCATAGCTCACTGCAGACTTAACTCCTGGGCACCAGTGATCCTCCCACCTCAGCCTCCCAAGTAGCTAGGACCACAGGAGTGTGCCACTACAGCTAGCTAATTTGCTTTTAGTTTTTGTAGAAGTTAGTCCCAAAATCATGGGCTCAGGCAAACCTCCTGTCTGAGCCTCCAAAAGCACTGGGATTACAGGCACGGGCCACTACACTCAGCCCCTTACTTTCCTCTTAACCTGTCTCCTCCACGTTAGACAATGAATAACGTGAGGGCAAAAATGTTTTATCTTATTCACCTCTGAATTCCTAGCTCCTAACACATAATACATGTTATCAGATAGATGGATGGGTGCTGGATGGCTGGGTTTCTTCAGGTTGCTATGCTGGCTTCAAACCAAATTAATTAATAAATTAATTAAATCAGCACCAGTCCATCAATGGCTCTTCAAGTGCTTTGCACAGCCCCTTCCCCTCTCAAGAACAGGAATAAGATATCCAAAGACAGACGGGCTGCCCTGGCATCTCAAGACTCACCTCATTCCCTCCGAAGCCATCTTATCAAGATTGGTAGTGTCCTTTGTTTCTGCCCAGTTTGCTCCCAGGTCACCCCACCCAATGTCATCGGCCAGAATAATCACAAAGTTCGGCTTCTGGCCTCTTGCTTTCCCACTGAAGCAAAAATCTACAAGAGGATAAAGAAATCCTGAGAAACTCACTCCCACCAACAAAACCTTTAGAAAAAGCCAGCCCATGGTGATTAAGGCAGGACTCCGGTTGTCTGCAGCGATGGCAGCCACCACTAGAGATGTTTCTGAGAGCTTCCTTTCTGCTCACTTCCAATGCAGGAAGTCTGTGGGGAGCAAGGATGAAGTTTGCAAGAAGATGCTGGTGGCAGGTGGTGATTGCAGTGATAACAGCTACAGGGATGTGGGGGCTATAGAAATGAGGCCTCCATCGGGAATCCTAATTCAAGAGAACCAGGAAATTTGCAATCCCTAATTTGTCTTGATCTTCTATGGTCAGTAAAAGACTGATTGTGTTCAGTAGTTAGACATCAATGTCAGCAACTGCTCTTTGGCCACTAAGAAAGTGACTTTTCTGTATTCAGGGCCTTAGAGCCACAGCACAGGCCTTACAGCTGTTTGGGACTCCATCTGGTGACTACAGGATGAGTCCTCGCATCTGCAGAACACCTGGATATTCTAGAAGCCGCAGTCAACCCCGAATAAGTTTCTCAGTTCCAGATGGTTGAGGGCTTCATGTTTCTGTAAGGTTTCCTGAAAGAACAAAAATTGACAAGAAAACAGAGTTAAGACTGCCAGTGCAGCTGTGTTTTACTCAGTAGCTTAGGAAATAATCACTTTTCCATGCCAACAGATGTTTTCCTTTTTATTCAAATATTTAACTGGTTCATCAGTTTCTCCACCTGAAAAATAGTGATGATAATAATATTCGCAATGGACCTATAGTTACAGGGTTGGAAGTAACATTAGAGACAATCTCTGCCAACCCACTCACCATATAGTTGAGGATAATGAGGCCCAGTGTTCTGGGTGCAACAAGGACCAGCCCCCCAACACAGCTAACTCGCAGTGTGCCACTGAGAATTCTAGAAGAAGAGGTGAGACCCTTATTACCAAGACATGATTGTTTGTAACAGTCATGCTATAACCTAATGATTCTACATTAAAAATTTTTTTTTGGTCTTGCTACATTGCCTAGGCTAGTCTTGAACTCGTGGCTCAAGTGATCCTCTTGCCTCAACCTCCCACATAGCTAGAATTACAAGCATGTGCCACCATAGCCAGCTAGCATTCTTTTTTTTTTTTTTTTTTTTGAGACTGAGTCTCACTCTGTCACCCAGGCTGGAGTGCAGTGGCATAATCTTGTCTCACTGAAACCTCCGCCTCCCAGGTTCAAGCAATTCTCATACCTCAGCCTCCCTGTAGCTGAGATTACAGGTACCCATAACATACCCAGCTAATTTTTGTATTTTTAGTAAAGACAGGGTTTCACTATGTTGGCCAGGCTGGTCTCGAACTCCTGACCTCAAGTGATCCATTTGCCTTGGCCTCCCTAAGTGCTGGGAATAAAGGAGTGAGCCACCACACCCAGAACCAGCTAAAATTCTTGATAGAAGTTAATTTAGGGGAAAAGAAAATGGTTTTGAAAAGTTAATAACAGAATCTAGGTAGAGTATGGGTGCTTACTATAAAACTCTTTTAATTTTGCTGTATGTTTGTAATTTTCATAATAAAATGTTAGAAAAAATTTCAAAAAAATTTTCTTCATGGAAATGTGTCCCTTTGCATCCTGGCCATGTCATTTTAATAAGAAAATCTAAAGACATGTTCAACCAGTGGTACAGCTTACACGTGGAGGTACATATGAATCAGCTGTGGATTCTATGTTTATTAAACCACAGATGCAGCAGTTTAGGCTGGGCTTGGGATCTGTATTTCTAACAAGCCCATGTGAGGCCTGTACTGCTTGTCCTTGGATCACACTTTTAGGTAGCAAGGTGCTGGAAAACAAAAACATCACAAGTCTAGCACAAGTAGAAAAAGGAAACTGCTTAATCTAACTGATGATTCAACTTCAGTGGACAAACAGAAGTGACAAGTCAGATGGAGTTTTGAAAGGCAGGGACTGAAGGTTTTATTTTAAGTTGCAGGTTGCAAATAAAGCCAAGGATAAAATTAGATTAGCCCTAGTTCACTTAAAAGCCCTAAAAGGCCTAAATTTGCGAGTCTGTTTATGTGTTTATTTATTTATTTATTGTGTTTTTTTAAAGAGACAGATCCCAGCTCACTGCAGTCTCAAACTCCTGGGTTCAGGCAATCTTCCTGCCTCAGCCTCCCAGGTAGCTGGAACTACAAGTGCATGCCATCAAACACAGCTAATTTTTTTTTTTTTTTTTTAATACAGATTGGGTCTCACTATGTTTCCCAGGCAGGTCTGGAACTCCTGGGCTCAAGTGATCCTCCCACCTCACCCTCTCAAAGTGCTGGGATTACATGCATGAGCCACCACTTCTAGCCAATTTGCAAGTTTTATAAGGAGAAACAGAGTTGAAATTGTGGATCAAATAAAAATTTCAGTTGGCCAGGCATGGTGGTTCAATCCCGTAATCCCAACACTTTGGGAGGTCGAGACCGATGGATCACTTGAGGCCAGGGGTTCAAGAGCAGCGTGGCCAACATAGTGAGGCCTTATCTCTATTCCTTTTTTTAGTCTAAAATTAACAACAACAACCAAGCTTCAGTTGAACACCCAATGTATGGAGCAGATTAAGGAGAACCAATGTGTAAACAAGATAGGGCTGGGGTTATGACAGACGCTTTTTCCAGTTGTACATCCTTGCCAGCCAACCCAATTGGTCAATCCACGTGAATGGGGGTGGTTGGAGGTATGTAAATTCTGGAAGACCTAGATAAAAACCAAAGAACGGGCAAATACGTCCTTAATCAAAATAAAAGGAAATCCATGTATACAGTCATGTCATCTGGAGGCCAATGAATCAATTGTTCAGAAATGCAAATTCTTCTGTTTCGCAAAAGGAGATGTATTATCTCAAACTCAATTAGATTCAACTGGTATTTGTTGATCTTGAAGCTCCAAAGACATCTCCCTTTGTAGGAGAAAGAGCCTCAGCACAAGGAAGATGGTTTACAAATGCCTGTGGACCTGCTGCTTGATTCCGAGCTCATTCTACTGGCTTTTGACCATGTGAAACAGATACCAGAGACTTTTTCTCTTAAAGTTTCTTAGCTTGGAACACTAGAGCAGCCTCGTGCTCGGTCAGTAATCCATTTCAGAATGGATCCAATGTACAAGACTTCAGGGAAAAAAATCACTTAAGAAAGAAGCTCAAATTAAGGTGGGAATATGAATAAACAGACTGTGTTTCTACAGTGTTCCATGATGAAACATTCCATTGAGGATTTTCAAAGAAAATCATTACTTTAAATTTTCATAGAATGGAAATAAGTGAATCTAGCCAGCACACCATTGCATTATTCTTCACACCCACACCTCCAGGGAGACATTTAATCCTTTCTCCACTTTTCTTTTTTAAACTAAATGGAAAAGGCAGACCAGACACTCAGATGACCAGGTATAGACTTTGATTAAGATCTAAGCTTAAACTCTGAGCTCAAAGGCTATAAGAAAAATGGGGCCAGGCACGGTGGTTCATGCCTATAATCCCAGCACTTTGGGAGGCCGAGGCAGGTGGATCACCTGAGGTCAGGAGTTTGAGACCAGCCTGGCCAACATGGTGAAGCTCCATCTCTACTAAAAATACAAAAAAATTAGCCAGGCATAGTGGCACACACCTGTAGTCCCAGCTACGGCAGACTGAGGCATGAGAATAGCTTGAATCTGTAAGGTGGCGGTTGCAGTGAGCCGAGATTGTGCCACTGCACTCCAGCCTGGGTGACAGAGTGAGACTATGTCTCAAAAAAACAAAACAAAAATATAAGGAAAATGGTCTCATAGCCAGCCTTAGTGTCTCATGCCTGTAATCTCAGTACTTCAGGAGTCTAAGGTAGGAGGGTTGCTTGAGCCTGGGAGTTGGAGATCAGCCAGGGCAAGATGGCGAGCCCTTATCTCTACAAAAAAAATTTTAAATTAGCTAGGCATGGTGGTGCATGTCTACAGTCTCAGATACTTGGGAAACTGAGGTGAAAGGATCATTAGAGCCCAGGAGTTTAAGACTGTATCGAGCTGTGATGATGCCATGGTACTCTAGTCTGGGCAACAGAGCAAGACCCTGTCTCTGAAAACAACACCTTCAAACAACGGCTATATAAGCCAAGCATTCGATTGCACCTACCTCTTAGAACAAAAGAAAAAAAAAATGGCTTCCTGCCCTCAGATCTTATCTGATGTTATTTTGCCAGCTTTTTTTCTCCATCACTCTCAGAAAGGAGTAGACACAGAGAAGGAGCACTCCTCCTGGCTATAAATAAAGGCAGAGTCTTTGGCAAATATAGCGTTTACCCCTCCTTCCACGGGGGTGGAAGGTACTCAGCCACCTCACTCAACAAATCCCATGACGAAGGCCCGTCTGCTCCATCAGAGCATAACTGACTATGAAAGATCCTTGCTGAGCACAAGCATAAAGAATTTCTAATGTCTCATGCTCCCAAGCAGGAGTAGAGTGAACTTTAGTTGACAATCAGCTTTACCCATGATTCCTGTTCTCCACGACCCCCATTTTAAAGCAGGTCCACTAAGTGTGCTCAACTTTGACCTCCCTTCAGTTTCCAGGCTTGCTTAGGGGTGAAGACACCAATGAACAGCCGAATGACCCATAGGCAAGCTGTGGGCCAGAAGCACTGAGAGACTAATGGAATGCAGCAACCTGAAAATCTGCTGAGCAGCGTTTGAAAACGCACAGCTGAAGTCCTTGGGCTTCCTGAGCCACTCGCTCCATCACCTGACCCTGGTTCCCCACGGGCCTCCCTGTGGCCAAGCATCCTCCTAGAGAACCTTGAAAACAGCTGAAATAACAAGGAGGTCGGGCAGACCTTTCTGGCAGAGGGTTCTGTTGGTTTTCCAAAGACAAAAGCATCTGATGAGCTGAGGCCAAAAAAGACAAAAGAGGAGCGGGGAGTAGGTCTCTGGGATGCAGAGTCCTGTTATTTTACTCCCCAAATCAGAACATGGTCTATGTGCTGAATGGGGGCCAGGAGCCATCGGGGGCTGTCAGAAGGGGCCTTGGGCACCAACTGCCCACATGTTATCTGAAGCAACTCCCCTGTGCATTCTGTCATTTGTCCAGCAAATGTGTACTGACAGGTCATAAACCAGGCATGGTGCATACAGCCATGAATGAAACAGACAAAAATCCCTGCCCTCACACCACTTACTTTTTTGAGGGTGAGGGGAGAAATGAAATCAATAAAATTTAAGTATCATGGAGAACAACAAAGAAGGAGCTCAGGCATGGGGTGGGGGCTGCAAAGTTAAAGGGGGCAGTCTGGGACAATCTCACTGAGTGCAATTTGGATACGATCTGTAGGACGTCAGGGAGAAAGCTACACTGCCATCAGGAAGCCATGCAGGAAAGATAGAGAAACTGGGAAAGGCAGAGGTCTGGCACAAGCAAGGAGTGGCAAAGTAGCCACCACAGAAGCAACGGGAAGAGGAAGGGCAGGGATTGGAGTCAGAGAGGAAAGACAGGCTTTTGCTGCGAGAGATGGGAAGCCAGAGGGATTGAGCAAGAGCAGCTGGCTCTGGTTTACATTGTAACAGAATGCCTGCCCTTTTG